AACTTAACAATGTGGTGTATGCTGTACAGTGCAGCGAGGAATGCCCAGACCTCTACATTGGAGAGACCAAACAGCCACTTCACAAGCGCATGGCACAACACAGAAGAGCCACCTCCACAGGACAAGACTCAGCAGTCCATCTGCATCTTAAGGATAAAGGACACTCTTTCGAGGATGCCAATGTTCACATTTTGGACAGAGAGGACAGATGGTTTGAAAGAGGAGTGAAAGAAGCCATCTATGTCCACTGTGAGCGACCATCTTTGAACAGAGGCGGGGGTTTACGACACCAACTCTCTGCCATCTATAATCCAGTTTTGAGATCCCTTCCCAGACGCCTTAACGCCCACTCACATCCTAGTGATGGGATTTCCGGCTCTTTTTAGAGAACCGGCTCTTTCGGTTCGGCTCACTAAAAAGAACCGGCTCTTCAGGTTGTTTTGTTGCTTTAATTAATTTATTATTAACAATAATATAAAATTATGCACAAAAGGAATTACTAACGTAAAAAAAGTGGTTTTATTTATATATGTTTATATATAAATATATGCGGTGGCCCCTAGAGACAAAACACGTACAAACTCCAAAACACATTTCTAGCATGAACTGAACTTCCAAAGCAGAGCTACTAGATCACTTAAATTACACAATTGAAAGCATGTGTGTATTGTTTGTGTATTTATACACAGGCACTCATATATATTCAAATAATTTTAAAAAAAGTTCATTTACCTGTTACTACCACACACCAAATCCGGTCGTTGGTACTTGCTGGCTTGTGTAGCCACAAGATAACAAAAGCTCAACACTGCACCTAGCATCCTGGAGCACTTCTGTTGTCTTTTGTACGTGTTTTGAGTTTTTATGTGCTTCTGAGTTTTTACGTGTTTTGGAGTTTGTACGTGCTTCAGAGTTCGTACGTGATTTGAAGTTTGTATGTGCTTTGTCTGTAGGGGCCACCGTAAATATACTTTTATTTATTCACTCCACATAAAATGTAATAAATAAATCATATAAACAAAAATCAACTATTCACATTTCAACTTTTAACTATTTAAATTTTCAGCTTTTTTCCGTGTGTTTTGGCGTTTTGTCTTTCGGGTGAACCAGTTTTTATTTTTGCAACACAAGGAGTAATCAGTAGTCCGTAATATATTACTTTTTCAAAGTAACTGTGGCAACACTGTATATATGTATATATACATACATATACATATAAGCCTTGAAATGTTGCATCAACAAGTGTGAACTATTTTCAAGGACTGATAATGCTTAAAATTGATAGATTTCTCTGAAAAATTCACAGTGAAAATGTCAGAGGTTGAAGGAGGTTCACAAGAAAGTAACAGCTTTCAAATGAGAGCAGAGAGACTTGGCATATGGAGAAGACATGGGCTGTGTCCCAATTAAGAGACCGCACGCTTGAAGTACGCGCACTACGTACGGTACATACTATAAGTACGAGAAGTGAGGAAGTGAGAGGCTTGTGAAATGGGACGGTCTAGCCTTCGTCGCGCTGTTCAGGTTTCCTAGCAACCATGATACTAACCGCAAGAAACGTTAATCACAGTAGTGTGTGACATAAATGAAGGAGAAAAAATGTTTTGTTGGTCATTCATTTTTGTCATGACATCACTTTGATTAGTTGAGTATCTGAGGCTGAAACCACGGGACTGTAAAACATGATTGTTGGGCTTCATTTCTGTGCTGAAGTCATTTCAAGATTAGTTACTAAATAGCAATTAGCTAATGTTGGTTATGAGACTAAAATCATCTCACTGTTGTAATGTAAATATAATATGGCCAATATTATATGTATTGTCAGATTATTATGATATATCAGAGCTCTAGACTAACTTTTTGCCATTGGCGTACCGGTACGCCTAACTTTTTAAAGTTAGGCGTACCGGCACAAAAGTTAGGCGCACACAAATTTTCAAAGTCCCGATTCAATTCCACTTAGCCTCAGACAGTCAGAAATATTATAATTCTGATCATTTATCAGTACTGACTACAGCAGATGCCTTTGTGTGAAAGTAACTGAGAATAAAACACAGAAAAACATGAAGGAGATCGTATACTTTATGTTTCTAAAGTTTCACACTGAAAGTTCTCACAGAGTGATGGACTTTCTTTCTGATCACAGTCAAAGAGCTAAAGTGCTCCACCTGAAGCAGTTCAGATTCTGAGCAAACTAAAGAACTAGAAGCTCCATCAACTTTTAGAAGTCATGGATTTTCTCTACTGCAGCTGAAGGCTGATGTTTTCCCAGTGAATTGGTGAGATCTTCAGCATTCATGAGCTGGAAATTTGTCCTGGAACGGCTGATGTGTTTGCAGCACCTGAATGAAACACAGGTTAACTGCAGTTCTGAATGTTGTTTCAAACTCTGATTCTGCCTTTAAATTAACTAAAAAAACATGTTTTTAGTCCAAAGATCAGCAGTTATGCTAATGTGCCTTAGTAGCTACCATCAACTACACAAGGCAAAATCAGTAATAACAAAGTTTATAGAGGTTTAAAGAACCAGCCAGACATTATGACAGGATGCTGTTTACCCTGTTCACAAATTTTAGGTGGTTAACATTTTTATCCTTATGTTGGACGCGGAGAAAAAACACTTCTCTTTCTCACCTGCTGAATCATCAAAGAAGTGAAGAGCGCCACCTGCTGTCCAGTCTGTGCCACGCAGTCAGGGTCGTTACATGAACCGAGTGAAATAATAACCACACAACCCTGTAACCACCTATCTGACAAAGCTGTTGTCTGTAAAAGTAACGTTAAATGAAATGTTAGAGCAAATGAAACCTGAAAGCAGCTGAGGAATGCTGTGACTGTTATACTGCCACCATGTGGTCAGTTCAGCCTGACCAGTTCAGATCTGGTCAGGCTGAACTACAACACTATTCTCTGTAATCTTCATCGAGCAGGCTGTTCAAAAACAAGAGTCATGAAGTGTTTAATGGTCCTCAGATTTGTGATTGCTGGTTATTAAACAGTTTCCTGAAAAAAAGGCAACAATGTTATTGATTATTGATTGAATAGCCTCTTCAAATGATGTCCTTGCACAGGTCAGGGGTGTTACTCTGTTACTATTTAACACTGAGCAGCTCCACGGCGGTGTGTGCAGTGTTGCATTAGGACAGCGGTTCCCAAACTTTTTTCGCTGGGCCCCCTTTGTTTTACAAGAAGAATCCTGCAGGGAGACCTACCTCGGCACTTGTGCAGGTGAAGCCAAAGGGAGATTTGCTTCCCCATATTTTCTTGTCTTTGGCTTAGAATGAAGTTGGTTTGGAAACATATTCTGCGATGCTTCTTCTCCTGCTTTGCGTTTGTGTAGGCGCCCTGTGCTAGCAGTGTCCAAGCGGGTTTTTTTTGTCTTCGTCCCTTTTCATACCCGCTCCCCCCCTGCAATGGCTCTGCGCCCCCCCTAGGGGGCGGGCCCCAGACTTTGGGAAGTTTAACGATGTTAATATTTTATTTTCTGCATGTTTTCTCCATGTCCAAAGTTTTTGTTCTTTGTCGCTCTCCACTAGATTTGAATAATGCACATGAACATGGACCTAACACTGTGGATGAACCTGTATCATCTTTATGCAGACTTTAAACACACAGACATGCACACAGACTGAACACATATTTCTTGTAGAAGTCTTTTACTGGGAATCATGGGCGCTTCATGTCACAGCCAGAAAGCTAGACACAGGTGAATGGACTCAGATGTGAAAACCACTCAGAGACGCAGAGCGTATGAGCGAAGCAAACAGAGTCTGAGAGAAAACACAAAGTGAACAAGAATGCAATAATTACAAAACACAACGATTAAGCGGGAAATAATTCAATAACTTAAACCTTTCTGAGAATTGCTGTGAACGAGTATAGAACTACTAAAGTGAAAACACAGCCTGACTTCTGAGAATGAGCGTACCACTACTATACTGTGAGCTCAGCTTGACTTCTTCAATGAGAACACTAACATGAGAATACAAACACTTTACTGTGAGCGCTACCTCACTTCTATGAGACTGCTCGAGTGCCTCTATGACACATTGATGCTTACAGGCAACACAACACAGACTGAGAAACAGGGTGCTTTGTAACCACTGTGTCTAACTGGGAGGTGGGGTCCATGAGGGAGTCTTGGGGCTCTCGCAGACCTGAGTGAGGAACCTGACACCGGGTAACGTCCAGTGCAGGAACCGAGAGATGTGGCCAGCGAGGAATTAGGAGGCAGAAAATTCTCAAAGTCACTGCAATGAGGGAGACAGGGGTTAGCAGGTGTTCCAGCCATTACTGCAGTGAGAAAAGTGTGAATTTGAAAACAGTCTTACTTCTTTGCGGGAGCAGGCGAGGCATGGAGGGGTAAGAGATCTGGGAGAGCAACAGGGAGCGTCCAGAGAGTAAGTCTGTAAGGATCCGGGGTGGGCAGTGGGGCAGGCAGGTGTTAGCAGTGCTAACGTTCAGAAGCACTTACAGACTGGAGGCAGCTCCTTCTGCACCTCCTCACTCTTCTTTTTAAAGAGAGCTTCTTGTGCCCGTCACTGAAGTGCTGTTGCTGGTTACCAACCACCAGTTTGTTGGACCCGGACCAATCAACACTGACAGTTTACAGGTGCTGACGCTGGACCTGCCAGAGTAGCGCTCTGCTGTGGTTGGGTAGTTGGGTCAGAGGTGGGAGTGTTTCTGATGTGATGTTGCTTCAGATAAACTACAACCCAGGTTCCTGAAACATTTCTCCCTTAATAAACATTTCATTTAGTTTTCTAGCGCCTCGCAGAGCCAGTGGGTCTTACTCCAGTCATCTCGAAGTGTCTCGAGAAACTGGTCAGAACTCACACATTCGATCCTCAGTTCACAGGAAGAACAGTTCAGGATGCCATAGCCCTCCATACAACCGTAGCTCACTCACAGGACAGTTACATCAGCCTTGTCTTTACTGATTTTAGCTCGGCTTTTAACACCATAATCCCTGCCAGACTGGTAATCAAACTACATGACCTCACCTTTGTGTGTATTCTCTCCCTGTTTCTCCTCTCTCCCAGCCGCGGGGTTTGTTTACGGAAGTTCGCGCTTCCGGGGAGGGCGTGGCTCGGAGGGCCTTCCACCCGGAGGCTCCTCCGCACAGCTGTGGCCTCACCTGCACTTGATCGCTCTGCCATCTGCTTCTAATCAGCCTCCATCTTAGAGCTGTGGTATTTTACGGTGTGTTCACACTGAACGTGATAGACGTGATCAAAACGCGCCAGACGCCCCTAACTTGACGCGTGCAAATTCGCACATCGACGCGTGTCCAACGCGAATTCATTGCAAATTCATCGCGTGTCAAAATATGCAATTTTGACGT